ATCTGAATTCTTCTCAATGGCAGAGACTTCTATAACTACACTGTGGCCATTGAAGGTTTGCTTTCTTGGTTTGAAGATTGATGGTTCTTATAATTAGTGAATAGCAATTGAAATCTGAATTTTAGTATGAAAATATTGAAAAAGTTGAAAAAGATAAATATATGAAGTTGAAGAACATTCACAGTTATACATTGTTAATTTTTTAGTAACTTTTATGGTTTAGATAAATATATGAAGTTTGTGGTTGTTGTGCAATGGCATTTGCTGACTTAAATATTGGGTTAAGTTTAGCAAAGATTAATCTGATCTGCTATTTCAAATTTTGATTGTGAAATTCATGCGGCAGTATTACTGTTGTCTTGTATATATTTATTTTTAAGCAAATGTCTGTTGAAGTTTTCCCAAACAGACTCCTAGTATGTATGTTTACTGGCAGAACCAGTGGATTTGTTTGGTTAATCAGTCCCCATCTTCACCATCTGATGGACTGGAATATTAGCTCTGATCTGAACCGCCCATAGGAGGAAAGAAAAGGAAAACACAATTTGACGTCCTCTAAAATCCATGAAACCTTTATTGGAGGATCAATTCCTTTCCTCCTCTCTCTTTCTTACACCATGAGAGCTTACTGAAGGATCAATTCCTTTGTGCATTTTTTTCTTCTTCTCTGTAGTCTATACATTTCAGGTACTTACCCACTCACTCCCTCTCAAATGGAATTTCTTCAACTTTGGTTCCCGGGGATTCATTTTTACTCTTAACATTTCTTTTGTTGAAATAAATTACTTCTACTCTCAGATTCTTTAGCATGGCAGCTTCATTGCAGTTTTATGGTGTTACACATAGACCTCCCTGCCATCTATCTTCTTCTTCTTCGCATTCACTTCCCATTCCCAATGTCTATTCACTGTACAGCATCTTAATGCCTCTTCTCATTTGCGTTCCCCTGTAAGTAAAATTTTGAGGCTCAGTCGCCACCAGGGAACTATTGTTGATACGATTCAACAAAGTAATGAGACTGAAAATCCAAGTTTAGGTGAAACCAACAACCAATTGATGTGTGTTATGAAGTTTGGAGGCTCATCCGTGGCCTCTGCTGAGAGGATCAGAGAGGTTGCAGCGGTTATCCTCAGCTTCCCCAATGACAGGCCAGTAATTGTTCTCTCTGCTATGGGAAACACAATGAATAAGCTTTTGTTGGTAATGCCTTTCTTCTAATTTACCCTGTAAATATAAATGCAATCTTTCTCACTTCTTTCTCTCTGTCTTTGTCAAAGAATTTCATTATCTGTTGACTATCCAGG